ATAAATAAATTTAAAAATGTTTTGGATTTGTATTGCCTGCAATCTCTGCAGAATCCAAATCATATATTTCTGAGGTCACAGACAGCAATTGAGACACGTGAATTTGATAATTAAATCAATCAACATTTGAATTTTTTGTAAAACTTTAGCCAGCAGAACCCCATCAAACTCTGGCCCAAACCCTGAGGGAAACCCCAAAAACCAGAATTAATAAATGGTTATCCAATGCATAAAGAACTAATACCTGAATAAATACACCATCTATTCCTTAACGTTATGTTTTGAATCAGGAATCTCCTAGAAACCTATTTCCAAAGTTTAGCCTAATCCAGTCTTTTTCAAACTTGACCAATTGAAGATGCCTGGATTCAGCTCCCAAACCTTACAGTGGGCAAGCTTGACTAAAACACTGGCCTAATCGAACACATTGTGTTAATGATGAACCTCATCCCCGAACCCACCTCCGTCCTGCAACATCTTCCTTATTTACCTGCCGGCAGAGCCACCAAGAGATAGTGGGGAATGGCGGGAAAGGAGGAAACCGAGTTCCAGTCCTGGCACACCTTGCACGCAACTCCTTGCACGCGGAGATCCAGCCTTGCATACAAAGGCAGCCGAGACTCCGATCACTCGTTTCTCTCGCCCTAAGGGGGAAGTATGGGAAACCCCTCCTGGAAACGGGACCAAGAAATCTGGAGGAAATTTTCCAGGAGTCAAGGCTGATTTGGAAGCACAAATCTCTGTTTTGCAAAGCCAACCTCTCTGCAGACGTTTTCCCATAGAAATGAAGGGGAAATGGCTCTCTCCTTTCTGGCAATCCTCGCCTCCCACCCCCACCTGTTGGGGGGCAATGCGGCGGGTCCTTAGTTTTGCTGAGGCTCGTGCATGCACAGGAACCGGAGGAAAACTTGGGACCCTAGGCTACCCTCTCACAACTCCGAACCTGATGAACTTTTCCTTCTCTTCTTGCACGCTTCCACCGCCAAAGAAAAGCCCGCCACTCGTTGAACTGTGAGTCACGTGTGGATCTCTGCATCCGGTAAAGGTTTTCCTGCAGCCTCTGGAAAGTCTCGGCCTAAGGCCCACGGCGAGGGGAAGCAGAGTCGGAGGCGGTATGGAAAGGGTTAATGCCCTCCCAGTCTTTTGCCCCTGGCAGCACGTGTCTCTCTTGCGCTCGGGACAGAGGCAGAGCGCATGCTCAGTTCCCACTGTGATTGGAAGGGGGGAGGGGGAGCTGTTCAGCTTTTCCAACGGCTGTCCGGTGGATCCTGCGAGCAATCCAGAGGAACTTGGGAGGGTGGAGGATATCCTGTTGTATGTGGGTCTGGGTAATGGGCATTGGAGTAGAAGGAAAAGTTCTCTCTAAGATTGCTTATTTATAAAGAAAGTGGCATCTCCAGCAGGCTGTCAGTTTGTAGATTTTCCTCGTTTTAATATCTAAGAACCACCTGTGAACTTTGAGAAAATGTATGTGGAGACTCAAAAGTCGCTTTCCTCAAGAGCAGCTTCTCTGAAGGGTCTGTAGAAATTTGAAGAGGCTTCACAAGTGAGTCAAAATCCTATCAGATATGGCTGGGTGGTCAAAAGACAAGAAATAGGAGTTTCTCTTTGAAAGACAACTTGTATCTTGTGGTTATTGTCAAACTCAGCCCTGAAGTGATGGAACATATAGGGAATGACAGAGATACAGGGAGGAAATGGAAAAGTTAGGAAATGTAAGATTTGTATTTATTACATTTGCCTTTGTCAAATTCATACCCCTGGGTGGCTAAGAAGGTTGCAAGCTTTGTCAAATTCATACCCCTGGGCGGCTAAGAAGATTGGAAGCTTTGTCAAATTCATACCCCTGGGCAGCTAAGAAGGTTGGAAGCATCTGGTAATAATAAAAATGATCCTGATGGAAAGGAGACATCAAAAGAAAACAAGTTCCAAAATGGAGAGAAAGCTCAAACCCGTGGACCTTTTAGAAATTTGCCAAAAGAAATAAAGACTTGCTGGCTTGAGATTAGTCTGCCTTTGGAGGTGACACTACAAGAAAGAAGAAGATTGGATTGCTTAGTACAAAAGTTTCAGGATAGTTTCCAATATGGGCTGGTCCTGATTGGATTAACTGTTCATAAGAGAGAGACAATCCCTGTGCTTGTCTGTGGCCAATATAATTCTCAAGAAAGGTGATGAATCATTATCCCTCTTGCATTCTGAAAGGTAAAACTAATTCAGATATTTAAATCCTAGTGAGAAAAGCATTGACAGTGGGAATCAAAACCCTCAGATGAAGAACCCAATGCAATAACAGGCTATCACCTTCAACCAGGGATCATCTCATCAAGCAGGCCATCCCTGAGTGGGCTTGAACTATCATCCTTTTGGTTAACAGGCAGATTTGTTAAGCTGTTGTGCCACAGAGACTTGCCACAGGGCTTTGCATCAGTCTCCCTCAGTCTAAAGAGCAATGCCTCCAGAGCTTCGGTTTGGTTTTCATAGTGTGGCTCCTTTTCCCCCATTAAAAACAAAATCTGGGAGGTAAACCCAGTCTGGTGACCTTGCCTGCACATCCCAGAATGGTAAAAGTTGAAAAAAGGCATGTACCAGTCGAGTCACAGGATTGGGAACCCTGCATGATGCCCCTATACCACTGGCACAGCTATTGAAATTTTGTCTCAAGAGTTGTAAAATTTTTCCCATTTTCCATCTGATGGTGTAAGAAAAACTCTTCTGAAACCCAACATTCAACCAGCAGGCTGAGAATACCTTCAATTCTGCTCCCTCATCCTTCATTCTGAAGAAACAGAGCTCTTTAATCCATGATAGGAGATGAAGTTGCCAGAACCTTGGGCAAGAATGTCATTCAATATAATGCAAACACAAGCAATAGAACATAATCCAACCAGTGCCTTAAGCTTTAAAAGAGCTGATTTTAACAAACTCAGAGAGAGCCTAAGCAAAATTTCATGGATAAAAATCCTGAAGGGGAAAATAACTCAAGAAGTGTGGGAAACACACTATGAAGATAAAAGCCCAGTCCAACACAATACCATTAAATCTAAGAAGAAACCAGCATGGTTGCACAGAGATCTCTGATAAACTGAAAGACAAAAAAGATAAGTACAAAACATGGAAAGAAGGACATACAACTAAGGCAGAATATCAGCAGATAGCCAGAATCTACAAACATGAAGTCAGGAAAGCAAAGGCTCAGAATGAACAAAGTCAAAGATAATTTTTTTAAAAAGTTTCTTTCAACATATAAATAACAAGAAAAAATCAAGGAAACAGTCTGTCCATTACAGAGAGAAGATCGCAAGGAAGTAACAGGCAATAGAAAGGCAGCAGAGCTGCTTAACTCATTATTTGCATCAGTCATCACACAAAAAGAAACTATAGCCCAACCTACCAAAAACAACTCTAAAAGACAGACTAGAAATAAAAATTAACATAAGCAAGAAAATGGTAAGAGAACACCTGTCTGGCCTTGATGAATATAAATCACCGGGACCTGATAGATTACATCCCAGAGTTCTGAAAGAGCTGGCAGATGTTATCTCAGAACCATTGGATCATATCTTTAAAAAATCTTGGAGCAACTGAGGAATTACCAGAGGATTGGAAAAGAGCTGATATGTTTTCCATCTTTAAAAGGGGGGGGAGGGGGAATAGACCCAGGAAACTACAGACCAATCAACCTAACTTCAATATGTGGGAGGATACTGAAAATATTTTTTAAAAAACAGATCTGTGAACATATAGAAACAAATAGTTATAAGTAGTAACTAGTAACTAACTCTTAAAAATAGATCATGCCAAACCAATCTTATTTCATTTTTTGACAAAGTGACTAAATTAGTAGCGAAATGCTGTGGACATAGTATATTTAGACTTCAGCAAGGCATTTGACAAAGTAGACGACAACCTACTGGTACTTCTTGGTAAGCTAGAAAAATGTGGGATAGACAGCATCATCACCAGATGTATTTGTAACTGGCTGACAAACCACATTCAATGAATGGTCCTTAATGGCACTACATCTACATGGAGGAAAGTGGGGTACCACAAAGTTGTCCTGGATCCAGTACACTTCAATATCTTCATACATGACTTAGATGAGGGAATAGAAGGGGAACGCATCAAATTTGCAGATGACACTAAGCTGGCAGGAATAGCCAACACTCCAGAAGACAAGCTCAGGATCCAAACAGATCTTGACAGACTTCAACAATGGACTCTACCCAACAAAATGAATTTTAATGTGGAAAAAAGCAAGGTTTACACCTGTGCAGGAAAAACCAAAGATACAAGTATAGATTAGGTGAAACCTGGCTCAAAAACAGTAACTGTGAGAGGGTCCTTGGAGTCTTAATGGACGATCACTTAAACATGAGTCAATGGTGTGCAGCAGTAGTCAAAAAAGCTAATACAACCATTGGTTGTAGAAACAGGCATAAAACAAAATCACATGAAGTATTAGTACCACTTTATAAAACCTTAGACCACCTGGAATACTGCATCCAGTTTTGATCATCACATTACAAAAATATATTGAGATTTTGGGGAAAAGTTTAGAGAAGAGCAACTAAGATAATTAAAGGCCTGAAGACTAAAACATATGCAGGATTTGGGTTTGGCTAATCTACAGAAATGGACACATGATAGCAGTATTCCAGTATTTTGAGAGACTGCCACAAAGAGGAGGGAGTCAATTTATTTTAGAAAGCACCAGAAGGCAGGACAAGAAACAATGGATGGAAACTAATCAAGGAGAGAATCTGGAATTGAGAAACTTCCTAATAGTGAGGACAATTAATCAGTGGAACAGCTTGTCTTCAGATGTTGTGGGCACTTCATTACTGGAAGTCACTTGTCTGAAATGATAGAGAGCAGGGGGCTGGTCTAGAAGACCTCCAAGGTCACTTCCAGCTCTGTTTTGATTCTACAACAGGCACCAGGCTGTCTTGGCCAGCAAAAGATATGGGCATGCTGGTTGAGAGGCAACCATGCCTGTGGTTTCTGTGGTGCAATGGTTATCACATTTGCCTAACACGCAAAATGTTCCTGGTTCAGTACCAGGCAGAAGCATGTCTTTTTTCTCTCATCATGAAAACATTTCAAGTTCTAGATATATACAGTAGATAGCTCCTCCCAACCCAGAAAAAGCAAGAAGCATCCCACTTTCTTTTTCTTCCTCATCCAAAACAGAATGAAAAAGTAGTGGATGCTTTTAAGCCATTGACCAAAACATTTTTCAAGAATGGCTCCCCAAGGAAAGGAACAAAAGCCAAAGCTTTTGTCAACATTGGACTATCACTTTGAGCCAGTACCTAATCCAACCAGGAAAAGCAGGTCCCAGAATTTCCCCATTCTGAGAGTTTCCAAGCTACAAATTTGGGTGATGCACCTCAGGTGGGGGGGGGGCTCTTCTCAACCCCCCCTTTTCTTCTTCGGTCTTCCTCAATGCAGGTGTAAGGCATCCAGAAAGTATCCATGATATCAATCACTCAGTGACATTTCTCTGCAATTGATTTATTTAGAAACAGATCTGGCATGTCAAAGGCAATTTCCTAAGTGAAATTATTTTCATGTGTTACACAGGATCCACCTTCTCCCCCCCACTTCTATACTTCATAAATCACGAGAACCAATTAACTGCCACTGAAATTTTTTAATACAACATACAGAATAACTTTGAACTTTTCAACTCCTCCAACTCCCTTAAAAAAATGTGGCAGCTGAATTTTAAAGCTGACAGGAGTCCCCCCTTGAAAACTCCTAAAAGAAAGGGAAAAAAAACCCAGATACAGGGGTTAACACATTTTCCTTAACCCCCTCTTTCCCCCCCCCACGGGGACCCTTCGGTTTGTGGGGAAAATCCTCATGGAATTGGTTAACCAATTGATCAGCATGGACATCCCAACTCTTTACCCAACTAGCATCCGAGCGAGGGTATCCTTTCCATAAGAACAAATATTGCAATCGGCCACAGTGTAATCTAGAATTGAGAATTTTTTGAATTTCATAATGTGTTTTCCCCCTGTACCATTAATGGTTTAGGGGGAGTGATTGGCGGTGGTCTCATCATTGATGTAGTAGCTGGTTCTAGTAAACTACAACAGAATACTGGATGAATTTTCCCCAATATTCGAGGAAAACTTAATTGGACAATGACCGGACTGATTATGTTTGAAATTGGGAACGGACCCAAGAATTTTGGACCCAGCTTCTTACTGGGCAGTTTCCACCTAAGATACTTAGTTGACAAATATAGTTTGTCCCCTACTTTAAAAGGCGGTTAAAGGGATCTATGTTTATCCACCTGTTTTTTATAATTTTTTGCAGCTTCGGTCAAAGCTTTTTTTGTATCTTCCCATCCTTTCTTTAATGAGTTCATCCATTCTATTAGGGACATGGATGAGGGAGGTTATCTAGGTAACTCTGGCATCAGGACAAAATCCATTCATGTTGATTTGGAATGGAGTCAATCCTGTGCTGTTACGTATTGCATTATTGTAAGCAACCTCTGCAAAAGGTAATAACTCAGCCCAATTTTCTTGTTGATAATTTACATACCATCTAATGTATTGTTCAATCATGGCGTTAGCCCTCTCCGCTGCTCCGTTACAAGATGGATGGAAAGCTGAGGATAACCCTTGAGAGGAACCAATGGATTTCAGAAATTCCCTCCAAAATTTTGTGGTAAATTGTACCCCTCTGTCTGATATTATTCTACGAGGTACTCCATGTAGTCTATAGATATGTTTCACAAACAGCTTTGCAAGTTTTTTCACAGATGGAAATCCCGTGCAGGCTATAAAATGGGCCTGTTTAGAGAATAAGTCAATTATAGTCCAAATGATCGTATTCCCTTCACTCTTAGATAATTCAACAATAAAGTCCATTGCGATCTATTCCCAAGGTCAGGTTGGTTCAGCAACTTGTTGCAGGAGGCCAGGAGGTTTTCCAGTTCTATGTTTCATTGTGGCACAAATTGAACAACTTTTTACATAGTCCTCGACATCAGGTTTCATTTTTGGCCACCAGAACTGTCTTCTCAGTAAATGTAGAGTTTTTAGGAATCCAAAGTGGCCTCCCAGCTGGGAGTCGTGGCTATGTTTTAGTACCAGTAGTCTTAGGGTTGTGGGTACATAAAGCTTAGTCCCTTTCCAAGCTAGTCCATCATTCATTGTCAACTCGTTTTGATGGTCCAGGAACCAAGGGTCGGTCATTAGGGCCGTTTTCAATTCTGTAGTCAGCTTATCTTCCAGGTATTTGGGGTTGCGGTTGGCTTGGGCTCGAGTAGTTACTTGACCTGCCGATTGACCTTCTGAAATTAAGACTTGTACTATTTCCTCTCAGTGGCTGTCAAACTGAGGTTTTCTGGACAGAGTGCCTGCCAGTACGTTTTTCCCTCTGGGGATATATTTAATGTTAAAATTGAATTGCTTGAAATATTGGGCCCAGCGGACTTGTTTGGGCGATAATCTCCTAGGGGTCTTTAGAGCCTTGCGGTTCTTATGATCAGTCCATACCTCAAAGGCCTCTGGTGCCCCTTCTAGAAAATGCCTTCAAGACAACAAAACTCATCGTACGGTGAATGCTTCTTTCTCCCAGACCACCCACCTTCGCTCTGTGTCTGTCAGCTTTTTGGCATTAGTCGGCCTTGAGAGTCCTTTTGCAGCAAAACAGCTGCCACCGCTACATCACTTGCATCCATTTGGACAATAAAAGGCTTGGTCATGTCTTGATGCTGGAGGATGGGCTCAGCTGCAAAGAGGCATTTTGAGGCCTCAAAAGCTTTCTGGCAGTCCATAGTCCAAGCCAGGGGTTCACTTGGCTTCAGGTTTGTGGGTGACGGGCCCGTTTTTAATAGCTCTGTCAATGGGAGGGCAACTTCAGCAAAGGACAGAATGAATTGTCTATAGAAGTTGGCAAACCCCAAGAAACTTTGAAGTTGTTTTCGGGTTCTGGGGGGTTGCCAGTCCAGCACCGCTTTCACCTTTCTGGGGTCCATCTCAATCCCCAGGTTGGATATTCGGTAGCCTAAGTAGTCTAGCAACTCTTTGTGGAATTCTCATTTTGAGAGTTTCACATATAATTTGGTGACTAGAAGTTTTTCTAGAACCTGTCAGACCAATTGAACATGTTCTTCCATGGTTTTGCTGAAGATAAGGATGTCATTCAGGTACACAAGAACCCCCCCCAGTAAAGGTGCGGGTGTAGCACCTCATTGATGAGCTGCATAAACACTGCAGGAGCCCCCTGAAGTCTGAAAGGCATGACTTTAAATTGGAAGTTACCCAGAGGGCAGTTAAAAGCAGTTTTCGACTCATATCCTTCTTTGATGCGGGACCTGGTAGTAAGCTTCCCTGAGATCTAGCTTGGTGAATATCTTGCCCTTCGACAGGTGGTTCAATAAGTCCTTCATAAGGGGGAGAGGGTACATGTATTGATGCATATGATGTTCACGCCTCTAAAGTCAACACACTATCTCAATCCACCATCTTTCTTCTTGAACAACATGGGGGCAGCTAGTCTTGATTTGGCAGGCTCATTAAAACCTCCTTGATTTGAGATTATGCATTTCTGAACACCATACTATCGGTACATATACTATACATAGTCTAGCCAAGGATCAAGCAGAAGGGATCCTAAGTCACATCACAAAGTGGGCTTGTTTGGAAAATAAGTCCGTAATAACCCAGATCACAGTCTTCCCAGCACTCTCTGATAGTTCCACAATAAAGTCCATAGATATTGTCTTCTAGGGAGCCATGTAGCTGGCCACAGTCTGCAACAGTCCTGGAGGCTTACCGGGCAGCTTCCAAGTAAGGTACCCAAAGAAAACAGAGCTCCAAGGCATGTAGATTCCTCAAGGAACAATTAATTGGACATTTAATATTGGCACAATTGGTGAAAACCTGACTCTGAAGGTTCCTGTGGTTTTCACCTAATTAAAAAATAAAAATTCCCCCTTCCCCCAAGTCATCAGTCACATTGTCCAATCAAAGTGCTGGCTGGTTGCTTAGTTATTTCACTCCGCCTTTCCTCAGCCACCTGTTGGATTATCGTTGGTTCCCACAGGAAAACTCTGTTTTGACTACAAATCCCCAGCTAACAATTTCCTCCCTCCTTGTCCCTTCTCCCTTGTGGCAACTCTGAAGCCTCCAAGATGATCTCAGCCAGATTCACTTCAGGGTTGACAGCAGCCTTTTAACTGAAGCACACAGGACAGCTGGCCACATAGGTTTCTATGTACTTCTTCATCGATGGCCATCAAAACTTCCACTTTGGCAGAGGAGAAAATACTACAATATCTGGGAAAAGCTAATTTACCTAAAGTGCCAAAAATAATGAAATCTATGCTGAATGAGAAAATAACTACAACAGAATTAGCAGAGGCGATCAACACAACACCAAGCCCAGATGGGCTCCCGACAGAAATATACAAAGAGCTACAAGATATTTACCACAATAGCAACAGAAAGGCTGAAGAGATTCTTGAAGGAGTTCATACACATACTCCCTGATCAAAATGGTTTTCTACCTAAAAGGTAGATAAGAAATAATATGAGAGTAATATTAGATACATTGGAACACTACAAAGCACATAATGAAAAGCAATTGGCATTGCTGTTCCTAGATCAGGGGTGGGCAAACTATGGCCTGCGGGCCACATCCGGCCCATTGGTCTGTCCAATCTGGCCCGCCCCTGAAAAAAAATCGATGGGCGTGGCATATTGCCCTGTGCCGCGTGGCCCCCAAAGCTGCAAAACAGTGCGGAGCGCTCTCGGGGTAGGAAAGAAAAGAAGAACTTTGCAAAGGCCTCGGCTGGGAGTTTGAAATCACCTTCGAGTGCGACCTCTCCGAAGGTGAGTCCCCGCCGATCCCCGTTTTTTTTCCGGGGCTTCTAGGCTTAAACTTTGCAAAGGCAAAGTTTGCAGGCGGGAGCGTCTTCCCGCTGAGCAGGAAGGGTTCCACCCGGTGGGCGGGCAGGCTGCTTGGAGTGGGCTGCTTGGAGCCACCTAAAGCTAGGCTGCTGCTGGTGGAGCCTTTCCTTGCCTTGGTGCCCCATTTCCCGGCTC